AAAACAATGGAGATCACAAAAAGTTCATCTAATTGGAGAAAAGGGTGTTTAAATTATAGCTTTTGTAAGGAGCATAGTAACATTTACACCATGTGAGGGGGCAATAAAAGGGAAAGTATCTTTAATGAAGATATTGTTTTTGTTGTTGAGAAGTCTCCAATTCCTTTCAAACCACACAAGCCAAAGAATGATTGGATAAATTGAAGCCATAGAACAAACAGTCAGTCAGCAGGCAAAGATTTCCCATGGTAAGGTTAATGGCAGGAGAACAAAACAACAGAGCAAGAAAGATAATGGAAAAATATAGCAACATACCTGAAACTGAGACTGAATTAGATAAGCACCGATCTTTTTAGACGATGGGTCGTTGGGTTTACTATCAGCAGCAAGCGACAAGGACTTGATAATGGGCAAGAACACACCGCCAGCCCTGGCCGTAGTGCTGGGCATGGCAGGGGCAATCAATGCCTCACTGAACGTCAAACCGTAAGATAAACCAAGCGTACTCTTCCCCATCCATTTAACAAAATACGTCGCAATTCGATCCCCCAACCCAGTTTTGACAAACCCACGAGCAAAAAAGAATGAAATAACAATCAACCAAATCACCTCACTAGTGAAAGCATTAAAAGCAGAAGCAAACGTCAAAGTCTTAGTAACAACAGTCATAGTGAGGCCAAGAAACGCCCAAGCACCCACCGGCAAGGGACTCAAAACGAGTCCAGCAATCGTGGACAAGAAAATCGAGAGCAACTGCCACGCTTGGGCAGAAACCTCCACCGGTTTCGGGATGGCAAAGCGAACAATTAAACCAATTGCGATGGAAATCAGAAAAGGGATTGGTTTAGCACCTTGTTGGGGAAGTGGGGTCGGCGGCAGTGGCTGCTTCTCCGGTGATTGAGAGGCACTGGTTCGTAATTGATGGGTTCGCCGCAATTTGGGATTGAAAAGCGGATTGAAAAGGGAAGAAGATCGGGAAATGAAAAGGGGGGATTGGGGGATCGGTGGGGCTGATTGAAATAGCGAAACCGAGCGATATAAACAAGGGGAAGTGGGAAAGGACTGGGAATGGGGAATGGGTTTCCGGCGGTGGAAGAGAGAAATTCGAGCAATGGGAGAATGGCGGGGCAAGGAAGCGGTGGTGGAGACAGATTGGAGGGCAAAACTCTCCATTGTGATGAAGATCGGTAAGAGACTACGAACGACGGCGGAGGACCAGGAGAATCGAGAGATCAGAGAGAACGACGAAGTTTATGGCGTTTTGAAGCCGACGCAGAAGCAGAGCGGATTGAACGAAGTGAGTGAGTGGGGCTTGGTGGTGATTGCTGGCTGCTAATGCCTATGGCGGAGAGTGAATTTGGATGCCGCTCTTTCTTTCCGGATGTAGTGAACCACATACACTATTATGCGCCGCTCTTACGTGTCACTTTTTTTATTGCACCACCTATTTTTCTTTTAATTGTGTATTTGTAATATATTACACAAATTTTAGAGTTTTATATATTTTTTTCTTCCTGTCAAAAAAAAAAATGTTCAATCCATTAGTTATGAACTTACCTGAGTTGGTTTTGAAAAAGTTAAAAGAGAATCGAGAAGTTTGGTTGTTACAGTGATATCAGAGCCAGACAACGATGTGCTAGCGAGTAAGTGGTAGACATGAACAATGTGCCAGCAATGATGCTGGAGCCCAAAACATATGGTTATATATATATAGTAACTCTTAATTATTTTAAATATTATCTACCTACTATATTAATAGGATCCTTTTCATTTGGTATATATTAATTTCGGTACTATTTTATTTACTTGAATATTACAGAATAAATTATCTACAAAATTATGTCCGAATCGACTATTATTATAATTATTAATATTATTATAAACGTAAATAGAAAATAAAATAATGTGACATTTTAAAGATATCATAAATCAAATTTAAAAATAACGGTGCACATGTCAATTTGATTTGTATTCAACCTACTTCTATTATTATCAATAATTTATCGAATATTTACAAGTCAGACTCATAGCTGACCTAGTTAAATATTCTTAAACTTTTTAAGTGTAGGGTATGGTTGGATTGTAACTTTATTTTTTGGTTCATAACCGAACAAAAAAAAAGTCAACCCACAAATAAAATCACAGGAAAAAAAATCTAACTCGATCTTTTATGATTTGGGTTAAGTAGTCTGAGTTTTTCAAATTATTATATTATATGAACAATCCTAACGATAAAAAAATTATAATATGAACACAAGAATACCTACTCTCGGAATATTAAAAAATTTGGTTGCATTCATGCCCGCTTCAATTAAGCAAAGAACAAACCTTTTTATTTAGGGTTTAGTTTGGAAAATTGACGAAAGAGACCTTTACCTCACTCCCTTGGCTTTATCTCCTAATGGATTGATTCTTCTCCATCTTCGCTTTACCTTTTATTTGTATGGAAAAGTTATACCTTTTTTTAATGTTTTTAATTTTGTTGTATTTTTTTTTATATAAATAAAATAATAGTTTAATTTTAAAATTTTAATTAAATTTTTTTAAAAAAATGAAGATTTAATATTAAAATTTACGTGTATTAAACTATAAAAAAGTTAATTTTATATGAATATTAAAATAAAAAATTATGAGAATTATGACAACTGTTCTGCCTAACTGGCGGAGCATGAACTACTCAATCCCCAACCCTAATTCTGACTTTTCTAATTAATATATATTTTATACACTCAAAAAATATATTTTTTATTTGTTAATTAATTACGTTAAAGGTTTTATAATGATTAAATTTTTTTATCAATGGCTTCTAATTTCGTATATAATGACACGTATTTATCAATTATTTAAATATAAGTGGTTTAAATTTTATGTTAAACCCCAAATTTGACTTTTCTAAACAAAACTTTATATAATAATCAGTCAACTTTGTTTTTAATTAAAATTTTAAATTTCATATTAAGTTATATGACATAAGTAGCATATATTATATTTCTATTTATCAAGTTACCTATTTATTCATCATTATATTTATAAATATTTTTTAGGAAAAGAATATTATTAAATTATAAATTGATTCGAGTGTTGAAATCATTTATGTAAATTTTATTTTTAATAAAAGTAAAAGATTAGTTTGTAAAATATCAATTTACTTATATTTAAATATTTAATTAAAATCAACTTTAACTTTAATATATAATTTGAAGCTATTAACGTCTAAATAATTAAATAAATTATTTTTAAGAGGGGTTGAAAAATAGATAATAAAAAATATTAAATGAAATAAATATTTAAAAGTGAGTACTAAATTTTTTATTTATTTGAACTTAAACCGAACTTAAACCAAATTGTTTAAGTTAATCGGGTTTTTTCGTCATTAAATTTTTTTAAAGAGAGTAATTTATGCGTAATAAAATTTAAATAAAATTAAAATTTTGAATTCTTATATGAAAATAAAATATTTTAAATTATGAATAAAAAAGTATTAAAAAAACCAAAAATAAATTAATTAAAAAGTACAACTAAATTATAAGAAGTACAACTTATAACTCATGTATCTCTCGTAAAAGTACAGCTTGTTTTTTTTAAATAAAAAATAAAATAAAATAATTGGTTGGTGGGATAATTAAAAAAAAAATAGCCTTAGGGCTTATAAATACAATAGAATTTTGCACATTATTAGTCGTCTCTCAAAGTCTTCTCTTCCTCTCAACAATGGCAGCTCGTCCCTCGGCTGTTCTGACCGTCGTGCTGGTGGCGCTGCTGCTCGTTAGTGTCGCTTATGCACACGAGGGGCACGTGCATCCTCCGTCCTCCGACCCCCATGTCGCTCCTCCGCCTGAACACAACGCCGCCACCGCCGTGAACAGCCTTTCGTACTTTTGGTCTATGGCTATAGCCATGGTGGCTTCTTCTTGGATGCTGTTCTAATTTTCAGGGAACTTCAATTCCTTTGTGAAGTTCATATCCAAAATTCTGTTTAATTTATTTATGTATTTTCCCATTGTATTTCCTTGGATGATGGCGTTTGATTTTGTTCTTCGAGTAATACGATGTTGTCAATTTAAATAATAATTATGTCGTGTTTTTTTTTTTATACTAAATTTCGAAATATTTGTTATGTATACTTATCCATAGTAAATATTTGGAAATTTACTACAAAAATCAAAGTTTATAAATATTACTTTTACCGAAGGATAAACTATAATCTCGACTAAAAGTTGAATATTCAAATTTTTTTCGACTAGGTTGAATTAAAAAATAAAAAAATGAGTGATATCTATGGTTCCGCAAAATCCACTCGCTAATAAATACCATAATAATAATAAATGATTGGACCAAGAAATTAGCAAGTCCATTTTTGTTAATAAATACAACTGGAATTTTTATTTTATTAGCAACTCAATTTCTTGATAAATTGTGTGAGTTGAGGATAAATAATTAAAAAAAGACTATGAAATTAAATTAAATATATGTTTATATTTTTTTAATTAATAAATTTGGGTTGGTTGGAGTCGGAATAATAAATTTATATATTTTTAAATTTTTGTCTAGATAGACCTGTCACATATTTAATATTTATTTAAATAACAAAATGATTAGAAATAATCTCGAAGTGAGAATTTTCTGACGCTAATATTGTGAATTTATATCTAATTTAAAAACAAAATTTAACATTTTTATAAATTATATTTTGAAAATAAGAAAAAAATGGTCATTCATTAAAAAAAAATAAATAAAAAGAAGATTTTGTATTTATTTATTTTGTTATTTTTAATTATAAAAGACAGCTTTTATGTACTTAGTGGAATGGCACAAACTAGTAGTAGAACTCCATAAACTTTTTTTTTTTTAAATTTCATAATATAATTTAAAAAATTAAGAAATCAAATAATTATATATTTTTATCAGCCGTTGGATCTTCATCTTGATTAAGTTTAATCTGTTCTATATATACTCTTATTTTCTTCAACTTCTTCACCGAGCTCCTTCATCTCTCAACAATGGCTTCCTTCGCCGTTCTGAATGTTATCACGGCGGCGCTGCTTCTAATCTCCGCCTCGGCCAACTCTCCCCTACCATCTCCAGCGCCAAGCCCAGAATCACCGCCGTGGAAATGGACTCCCGATACAGATTCGCCGTCATCTCCACCAGAGATGGAGCCGCCTTCGCCGTCAGTATCTCCACCGGAGCTCAGCCCCGTTCCGTCATCCGACACCCCGACTTCGCCGCCAGATGCTAACCCACCAACATTGTCGCCGGCCGCTCTACCGCCGGCGGTGAAGAGTCCCGTTCACGCGCCGTCGCCGTCGAAAACGAAAGCACCAGCTCCTGCTCCGTCCAAAATGAGTTCGACGCCGGCCAGGGCGCCGAAATCATCTGCTGCTCCAGTGAGTAGTCCTCCGGCGCCAAATGGGGAGATGGAACCACCGACGCCATCCGTAGCTCCGACAGCGCCGAAGGCGGAAAACGGCGGCGCTGCAAACAGATTCGCCATTGGTGGGACAGTTGCATTTGGATTAATGGCGGCGGCTTTAATCGCTTAAATGAATTGGTTGCAGATTCTGAATTTGATAATTTTAATGTATTTGAAGCGGATTTTTAAATACTTTATTACTGATTATAATTGTGTTCATTGTCATTTGAGATTTAATTTGTTAATTTTTTTCGTTATTAAATATTGTGGAAATTTATTGTTTCGTTTCATGAAAACACAAATGGATAAAAGAAAATTTTAAAATATCAACCCGTTTTAACCCTATAATACAAATTTAAAAAATATTTAAAAAATTTGTGGAGGTAAAAATAAAAATTTAAAAACAATGAAATTTGCGATCATACATAGCAGTCAGTAGCAGACCAAAACTGTATATATGAATTAGAGAAAATTAAACATTAAAAAGTTTGGATGAGGGAAGAAAAAGCCCAATAAAAAAGCCATTATTGTACGGCATTGGCCCAAATTTGAGCCCAATAAAAAAGTGAGCCCAATAAGAAGAATTATTGTACGACACTGGCCCAAAGTTGAGCACAATAAAAAAGCCATTATTGTACGGCACTGGCCCAAATTTGAGCCCAATAAAAAAGTGAGCCCAATAAGAAGCATTATTGTACGGCACTGGCCCAAATTTGAGCCCAATAAAAAGCCATTTTTGTACGGTACTAGCCCAATAAAAAAGAGTGCACATTTGAGCCCTATAAAAGCCATTATTGTACGGCACTGCCCAAATTTGAGCCCAATAAGAAGCATTATTGTACGGCACAAGCCCAAATTTGAGCCCTATAAAAAGCCATTATTGTTGGCACTGGCCTAAATTTTAGCCCAATAAAAGCGATTATTGTACGGCACTGGCCCAAACTTGAGCCCAATAAAAAGTTGTCCAATAAGAAGCCATTCTTGTCTGGCACTGGCCCAAATTTGAGCCCAATAAAAAAGAGTCGACATAAAAGCCATTAGTGTACGGCACTGGCCCAAATTTGAGCAAGTGAGCCTAAGAAAAAGCCATGATTGTACGGTATTGGCCTAAATTTGAGCCCAATAAAAAGAGCCCAAATTTGAACCCAATAAAAGGCATTATTATACGGTACTGGCCCAAAATTTGGCCCAAATTTGAGCCCAATAAAAAGCCATTATTGTACGGCACTGGTTCAAATTTGAGCCCAATAAAAGGCTTCTGGCCCAAATTCAGACTTCAAACGCTGAGGTTTAAAATTGGGAGACATTTCAACCTTTAATCTATTAATCTATGATTTGAGCGACTTCAATTTTTGAAGGGTAACTCTGGCAGTTATTTTTAAACTTTTAGGATTTAAATTTTTAAAAATTAGAATATCAAATCTCTTCGAAAATATATATATATTAACCAGTTAAAAATTATGATTAAGTTGACTTTACTTTTAAACGAGAAATGTCAACTCTTTAATATACATATATTTAATAATTATGTATCATTAAAAGAGACTCATCATCATTATCATCAAATGTAATTCATGAAAAATGACACTTGAAAACATGATAGCTGGTAAAAAAAAGTCAACTCTTAAATTTGTAAATTAGGGATGAGTATCTATTATTAGATGAAACTATGTGTATTATAGTGATCTCATCGAATAACTTCTTGTCACGAAGATATTTGCTTGAATAATAACATTTATTTATTTACTTTAATTACACAGACAAGTAGCGCGAGACATATATCGTAAATAAAAAAAGTATAAAGTTCGAAATCTTACTCCAAATGGGAAAAGTGGGACAACCCGCATCACAAATTCTTAGATTTTAAGGAACAAAGTTGTGGAATTTAAAATGGTCCATACATAAACATAAAGAAAAAATTGAAAGGGTTTTGGAATGCATGCTTTGTTGAACTTGGTACCAATCATGTGGGTTTGGACAAAAGAGAGAATTTAAGTTACAAAGAAAAAGGGAAAGTTCTGACAAAATAATGCCTTATCATACTTTTTTTAACTTTAGTAAAATATTTATTGAGAGTAGTTTAATCAAATATTAATGCTTATAAAGGCATTTAAAAATAAAATAATTATTTTCCGATAATTTAACCAATTCGAACTACCCAAACTAAATTATAAAGGTTAGGTTTGGTTAAATTCCGTTCCATTTATGGGTTTACATTTTTTTTTAATATTTAACGTTTGTAACTAATATTGTGATGCATTATGACTTGTAAATGTTTTATATTCGGTTAGAGTAGTGGGTAGTGAACTCTATTTGAGTGTCTCGAAATTTGGGACTAATAAAGAAAATTTCAAACCAACCAATGGAAAGATGCCAAAAAATTTCAAAATTATAATTATTAAATGCCAAATAAAAATATAGAAACTAATAAATAACTTTTTTCCAGATTATAATAAATATACTTTATTTATCTATTTATACTTAGTGGGACCTACCCTACAATCTACTGGCCAGTCCACCTCCAGGCTGTGCCACCCTTTAACGGTCATGTTTCTGTCCAAAGCTTTTTTCTGACCGTTTAAAATTTCTCGTATCTCAGTATTTAATTAAATGATTTATTATTAAAAATGAAACTGTTCGAAATTCCAATAATCGAAATCGTCCACGTGTACGTTTGAGATCAGTTGACAGCTCTGCTTTTATGGTGGACCCGCACCGCGGTAAGCCTAAGGCAACCCAGCTTGGATTCTTCACGAAAAAAAGACCATCTCTTTTGAGCTATGATCGGCTATTTTCAGCATTACGGCAAACTTAAATTTGGGAGTTACATCTGCCGTTGATCACGCTGAGATCTTTGATTAGAATTTTTACTCCGATCTAACGGCTGGCGTGGCTTTTACCTTTGACTCTAAGGGTTTCACTGTTTTTTTCCCTATATATACTTCCTCCCTGCTAGTGGCTTCTTCTCAAACTCAGAACTCGCTTTCTATCTCTCTCTCTTGATTCCTTCATCTTCCTCTCTTTCTCCCTCTAGATTCTTGTTTTTCTTCTCTGAGTTTAATCGTTTATCCAAATGGCGATTAGGAGTTTTGTGGTGATGATTTTGGTGGCATTGTTGATCGGCTCTGCAATCGCGCAATCGCCGGCGGCATCTCCGTCATTGTCTCCGAGGAAATCACCGTCCAAGGCTCCGTCGGCGTCTCCGTCAGTGAAGTCGCCAAAATCCTCTCCGGCCGCGCCTACTCCGGCTTCTTCGCCATCTACTTCTCCGTCTCCGGCGGCTTCTCCTTCCTCGATCTCCTCGCCGCCGGCTGACGCTCCCGCTCCGTCAGGTAGCGGCGCCGCTTCGATCTCTTTCTCGGTGTTCGGATCTGTGGCCGTTGTTCTATACGCCGTCGTTTTGATGATCTGAGAGCAGTCAGATTTGATTAGTTCTCTGCGTTTCTCTATCTGAGTGATTTATTTGTAGCAGCTTCTGAGTACATTTTATCTTGATTTTGTTTTTCTTTTTTCTTCTTCTTCCTTATCACAGTATCTTATGGATTCTATACTTTCCTCTTCTTCTTCTTCTTCTTAATCTGATTTAATTTGTTTCATTGTTTCTAGCTATGGCGATTATGTGTTTGCTGGTAACGGATCTCTTCTGTATCTTCATCATATATTAATTTATAGTCACTTTTTCTAGATCCTTCTCATTTTCTTTCCTTTTTTATTTCCAGTTCATTAATTACTTGTTAAATTAGAAACGAGGATTTCACGTCTTTCCAGAATATCTTTTATAAGACGTAGTAAACTACTCTTCAAAAATTCTACAATATTGACACATTTTTATGAAGTTGCACCTCTAATAAATTGATATGACATTGCTACGTTTTTTTAGTACCTTAAACTAAGCAATGCTTAGAAAACAAAATATGTTTAAGCATAGTCTAATTTTTTAAAAATGAGAAGTTTGCTTAGCAAAAGATACACACTAGCTGGTGTGACACATGGACTGGAATGCAATGTCGACACACTTGTATCGTCCAATAATGTAATTGAAAAACTTACTTCAAAGGAATTCACCAATGTTCGTCCTCACTATTACACATGTATGTGTCGTATGGTAGCTTGTTTAGGCTATAGAGCTTAGGGGTGATGGAGAGCTGACATCACATCATTTAACAGGCATTTCCCCAATGATGGTGTCGTGAATCTATCTTATATTTCTCCAATTCCTTGAATCGAGCTTTAAAACTAAATCACTTTGAAAGAATCGATTATATGGAAAGAAAAGTAGTCAAAATAATTAAAGGAAGTGAATTCGAAACTTTTTAAAATTACATTTTGACTAATTATTAAAAATATCTCTAAAATCTTTCAAAATTAAAATAAAATAGGTACCCAAAGTTTTGAATGGGCACATGGGTTGGGGTTGGATGCTTCATATCTTGGTCATAAAAGTTGTGAAAGGCCCCATTGTACCTTTGGTGGGAGGACACATCATCCGAGTTTTTGGACGATGCACAGAACCCATTACTCAATGTTTAGATAACACTAGAAAAACCACGAGAGAACATGATAGATACCAAATCTGAAGTACTGTAACAGTTGAAAGTGTCGAAGATCTATCACAATCTTTACACAATACAAAGTTACTTCTCTTATTATCAATTGATTTAGAACCGAAACGAAACTCGATGTTTACCTATATCAAAGCAAACGAACACGCTCCAAGCAAGATTTTCCTTCAAGTTTATTACTTTGAAGCATTTCCATATAATCTTTGTACATGATGCTCTTGAACAAAGGAGGACTGTTGTGTTTATGAAGCAATTCAGGGAGAGGAGCAACCAGTGTTTGAGATGATGGCCCAATTGCCATGGCTATGGAAATCCTTGTGGCTTTGTCATTCACCATTGCTCTGTGCAAAACGCTCTTGTATTTGCCATTGCTCATGATCTACCACACCCAATAAGGAAAACAAATAAACTCAAACCTACATTTTTATTCTTGTTACAGGGTCGAAATGGTCTTTTATATTCCAAGATTCTAAAACGTTTCGAGAAATTTATTCCAAATATACCCTTGAAGAGTTCAACTTGTAAATCTACAAGGTACACGTGACATTATTTACCAAATCAATTATGTAAATTGATACGAGAGTTGATGCGTAATAAGAGTGTTCAAAAAACTCGATAACTTAAAAAACTGATCAACCAATCCAACCCGTACAATTTGGGTCGGGTTGGATTGGAGTATGAACTTACTTGGATTAGGTTTAAGTTGAGACGAATGAAAATTTTATGATTTTAGTTGGTTCAACCAAATTTATTGTTAATTTTAAAAAATATATTTTTGAGTAAAATACAATTATATATACTTATTTTATTTTATTTTATTTTTATTTAACTATTTGGAAGTTAATTTTTTAAAATATATATGGAATTTGAATGGAAAATTTTAATTAATGTTGGAAAATAAATAAATAACAAAATGTCCCAATCGACTGAACCGAACCGAACCCAAAATATTTCTAATGTAACTATAAATGAAATAACAAAATGGTAACGACTAATTTAATCTTCAATATAGATGTAAATGATATCACGTATGCCTTCTAATTTTTAAATATTCACGTCAATTATTCTCCTTTATTTTAATGAAAAATATACTTTTCGATGCAAAATTTCAAAACCATAAGGGTATTTTTTCGAATAACTTTCAAAATTTAAGTGTAAAAAAGAAACTTTCAAGATCGATCGAGAAGTATAATTGAAACCTACCCTAATGTTCGAGATATAGGAATTGCGTGGGTGCGTACCTCGAGTTGATCGGCCGTGTTAACGAGTAACGCGTTGGGAATGGGATTGACAGTGAGCCATTGATGATCATGTAGGATTTGAAGGCCAGCAACATGGTTTTGAAGAAGAACAGTGAGAAGGCACTGATCAGAATGAGGTGGTTAGCCCCTTGCGAGCTGTGGCTGTGGACATGGCGGATACAAATTTGCTGCAAACAGTGTTGAACTTGACTCAAGATCTGCTGCTTTCTCTAAGTTACAGGCTTCCAATCCCAAGCTCTCTGATATTCCTCTCATCAATTCTCTTGCCATTTCTTTGATTCTCTTGCTGTACTCTTCCAAGATCTCCCTGCAATAATCAACCAAATGTTTCAGTTGAGGGTGTGTCGAGCTGCTTGATATGTCGCCCGACTATAACAATTCAAACCCACTGCTAACAGATATTGTCTCGTTATGAGTAACATCAGTTTCACTGTTTTAAAACGTGCCTAGGGAGAGGTTTCCACACCCTTATAAGGAATGCTTCGTTTTTCTCTCTAACTGATGTGGGATCTCACAATCCACTCTCCTCGAGAACTCAGGGTTCTTACTGGCGCACAGCTCGGTGTCTAACTCTGATATCATTTGTAACTAGATATTGTCCGTTTCTACCCATTACGTATTGCTGCTAGCCTCACAGTTTTAAAACGCGTATGTTAGGGAGAGGTTTCGACACTCTTACAACTAATGCTTGGTTCTCCTCTCCAATTGATGTGGGATCTCACAATCCACCTCCCTTGGGGGCTAGCGTCATGGCTGACACCACAACTTGTCTGGCTCTGATACCATGGCTGACACACAACTTGGTGTCTGGCTCTGATACCATTTGTAATAGCCCAAGCCCACCGCGAGCAGATATTGTCCATTTCAGCCAATTACGTATCGTCGTCAGTCTCACAGTTTTAAAATTAAGTAAAGGTTTTCGTACCCTTACCAGAGATACTTCGTTCTCCTCTCCAACTAATGTGAGATCTCACAATCCACATCCCTTTGAGGTCCAGCGTCCTCACTGGCACACCACTCGGTGTCTGGCTCTGATACCATTTGTAACAACTCAAGCCCACCATTAACAAATATTGTCCGCTACCGCCTGTTACAATTGCCATCAGCCTCATGGTTTTAAAACGCGTTTGTTAAGGAGAAATTTTCACAGCCTTATAAAAAATGGTTCATTCTCCTCACCAACCGACGTGAGATCTCACACCAATAGACCTGAATCTTGTTGAACGTGAAAGCTTGAATTCTTACTAAAAAGAAAAAACACACAAACCTGAATCTTGTCGGTTTAGGTGGGGAGTGAAACTTGGGATGAACCAAGACCTTCAAATAATCTCTCCAAAAGAACACCTCCTCCATCTTAGGATTGAAGCTGGTGCCATATCTAATGGGGTCAAGCACATGCTTTGTTTCATACTCTCTCTTCTCCTCTTCCTTTAGATCAAAAAATTCTCTACAAATCTCCACCATCTCCTTCATCAACCCCTCCCCCACTCCATGATTGATCACCTACAACGAGCTTATAAATTTAATATCGCGAGCGAGTACTAAGCTTTTGAGTTTAGTAGTAATTTGAGGGACGTACCATGAAGAAGCCCCAATCATGGCAGGCCTTGCCAAGCTCATCGACCACTTTGGATCGTTGATGGGGAGTACCATGTTGAGGATTATTGGGATTGGGAGTGTCCCACATTGGTTAATTTAGTGGAAGATCATGGGTTTATAAGTGAGGAATACTATCTTCATTGGTATGAGGCCTTTTGGGGAAGCCCAAAGCAAAGCCATGAGAGCTTATGCTCAAAGTGGACAATATCATACCATTGTGGAGAGTCGTGATTCCTAACATGGTATCAGAGCCATGCCCTAAACCTAACCATGCCAATAGAATCCTCAAATATCGAACAAAGAATGGCGAGCCTCGAAGGTGTAGTCAAAAGTGACTAAAGTGTCGAACAAATGGTGTACTTTGTTCGAGGGCTCCAGAGAAGGAGTCGAGCCTCAATTAAGGGGAGGCTATTCGAGAGCTCCATAAGCCTCAGGGGAGGCTTATAGTGTGCTTTGTTCGAGGGGAGGATTGTTGAGGATTATTGGGATTGGGAGTGTCCCACATTGGTTAATTTAGTGGAAGATCATGGGTTTATAAGTGAGGAATACTATCTTCATTGGTATGAGGCCTTTTGGGGAAGCCCAAAGCAAAGCCATGAGAGCTTATGCTCAAAGTGGACAATATCATACCATTGTGGAGAGTCGTGATTCCTAACATGGTATCAGAGCCATGCCCTAAACCTAACCATGCCAATAGAATCCTCAAATATCGAACAAAGAATGGCGAGCCTCGAAGGTGTAGTCAAAAGTGACTAAAGTGTCGAACAAATGGTGTACTTTGTTCGAGGGCTCCAGAGAAGGAGTCGAGCCTCAATTAAGGGGAGGCTATTCGAGAGCTCCATAAGCCTCAGGGGAGGCTTATAGTGTGCTTTGTTCGAGGGGAGGATTGTTGAGGATTATTGGGATTGGGAGTGTCCCACATTGGTTAATTTAGTGGAAGATCATGGGTTTATAAGTGAGGAATACTATCTTCATTGGTATGAGGCCTTTTGGGGAAGCCCAAAGCAAAGCCATGAGAGCTTATGCTCAAAGTGGACAATATCATACCATTGTGGAGAGTCGTGATTCCTAACATACCAGTGGTTAGGAGAGAAAAATCAATGGTGGGGATCGAATCTTCGACACCGTGTGGAGCTGCATCGGCGGTGGTGGCAACATCGTCTGAGTCGTTGCTGGTGGTGAAGATGTAAGAGGAAGGAATGGAGGCTAAGTTGGGGGTTTCAGCGATGGCTTTAACGCTAGGCAGCGCCATTGGACACAA